CCACATGACCCCAACCAGAGCTGTGGATCAAACCTGCATCCCAGGTACCTGCCCTTGACCGGGAATCGAACCCGAGACCTTTCAGTTCTTGAACAGACACATTAACCACAGAGCCAAACTGGTCAGGGCGATTCCTTTTTTTTTTTCATTGTGAAATATCCCTTTTTCCATTTAATAATGCTTCTATTTTAAATTTAAATCCTCACCTGAGGATATTTTCCATTGATTTTTTATTTTTTTTATTTTTTAGATAGAGTGGGAGGGAGGGAGAGAGAGAAACACTAATGTGTCTGAGAGACACATAGATTGGTTGCCTCCTGCATGACCGGGACTGGGGCCGGGGATCAAATCAGAAACTGAGGTACATGCCCTTGACGGGCAGTCAAACCTGTGCCCCCTCCTTTTTTTTAAAATTCTCACCCGAGGATATTTTTTCCATTTATCTTTAGATAGTGGAGGGGAGGGAGGGAGGGAGAGATGGGGAGAGAGAGAGAGAGAGAGAGAGAGAGAGAGAGAAACATTGATGTGAGAGAGACACATCAACTGGTTGCCTCCTGTATGACCTCCTGTACGACCCCAACCAGGACCAGGGACCAAACCAAAACTGAGGTATGTGCCCTTGGCCGGAATGGAACCTGTGACTCTTTGGTCTGCAGGTTGTTGCTCTAACCACGGAGCAAACTGGTCAGGGCTAAACCTGTGACTATTGATTTAAAGCCAGATTTGCCTGATATTAGTATACCTTTGTTTCTGAATAGTGTTTGAGTGATCCACCATTTTCTATCCCTTTACTTTAAACTTTTCTGAATTCTTACATTTAAGGTATATCTCTTGTAAGCAGCATGTTATAGGGTTATATGAAAAACTTTGTTAATTGTAGTATTAGTCTGTTTACATTTAATGTAATTATAATATATTAAGGTTTATTAAATCTACTCTTCTACTGTGTTCTTTTCTATTTCTGCCAAGTGCTCTGTGTTCTTTGGCCTCTACTTCTTTCTGGCTTGGCGGCTGTGTCTGAAGGAGAAGAGAGGTACTGAGTGTCAGGCTAATCTCTCTGAACTTCCTTCTCTCTGGGATTGAGGCCACTCAAGACCCCACTGCCTTGGTAGGTTTCTGACTCCTTCAGAGAAAGGTTTTCAAAATATTTTTCCAGTGTTTCTACTTGATTCGGCAAAAGATTTGGTCTGTAACAATTCCTGTATTATTAGAAGTTGGAAATCTCCCATTATTTTAAAGTTTGGGATTTTAAATGTCATAAAACGTTATTTTAATAGGCACTTTGATGGTCTAGAAGTGCAGCTGTCCTGCCGCATTGTGCCATCTTTAGGAACATGCCTGCTGTCAGGCTTCCTGGGTGTGATTCTGAGGGCTCTCCTTTACCTGCGGTGTGACCTTGCTGTGTCTGCCTCATCTGTAAAATGGGGTATTAATAGTCTATTAAAGATGATTGTAATTATTAAACAAATTAATCCATAAAAAGGATCTCTAACAGTGCCTGGCACAGAGTAAGCACTCAGTGGCCATGAGCTATCTTTACTATGAGTGGAGTGTCATGACTCTGAAATGACTGTTGAATAAGAAAGTGTCTGTTGTGTGAGACATGCAAAGAAAAAGCATAGACTCTTACCCTCAGGAGCTTCCTATCTAGTTGGGGAGATAGGAAATTAAAGGGGGACCTAAAGTAATGACAGGGATTTCCACGTGTCACTCTGGAATCCATTTCATTACTCAGAAGAGCAAGGCAAGCATGACAGCGGGAAAGAGCATGGGTCATGGACCAGACATATTTGAGTTCAAACTTGGCCTCTGCCCCTAACCAATTATGACCTCGGTAAGTTATTTTTCTTTTCTGAGTTTCCAATTTCTATATGACAGGGTTGATAATTGCCGATTGCATAGGGTTGTTGTGAAGATTAAATTAAGTAAAATGATCTGTGCAAAACACTCAGCTGCCAATAGGCACTGGGCGGATGCATGGTCTCCTTTCCCAGTCTTTCTGTGGGAAAGCAGGCTAAGGTAAGTGTTAGGGAACGACCCAGAACAACAATTTCAGGAGAAGGAGAGTTTAGGGAAGAGAAGGGTCTTGTGTGCAGGTGTGGTCAATGAAGACGTACAGACTGATAGGACCTAGGCTTCTTTCTTGAAGGTAGGGGAGAGCTGTCTGGTTACACAGGGAGGAAGGGAGAACGGGAGTCGGGGCACAGGGCTGGAATGGGCGATTATGTGATAAGACACCTGGGAGTCGCACGGCCTTCCACATGGGATCTGTCACACGCCTCCTCGTACGTCCTCAGCAACTCCGTGTCTGGTATCATTGGCTCCACTTAGAGCTGAGGGTGGAGGCTTAGCAGCTTGCCGGTTGCCATCTGCCCTATAAAAAGAGAAAATGGGACTCAGTCCTACATCTTCTTACCCTGAGCAGACAGATTGGAGAGGTGCAGCCTTTAGAATGAGAGGCGGTGGTCAGATGTGGATGGGCTTGCAGCCGAGCTTGGAGGTTTGTTTGCTTAAGTAGAGAGTGTGGCCCTCCCAGAGCCTTGTGACGGCAGATTCCATGTAACGTAGTTTAACAATATTTATCTGGTGGTATTCCAGAGCAGAGAGGATGCAGGGAGGCCAATTAGGAACCCATCACTGTGCTCTGGGCTGGAGGGGATGCTATGACCTCTGAGTCTCAAAGGGCACCCAGGCTGGGGAAGAGTGAGGGATACCAGAGTCCATTATTGGCTTGGGGGGCTTTCTTCACACTCCTTTGGAATTTGAGATGAATTGCTGAAGGGCTTCTCTTATTGAATTACCCTCAGAGGAGTCCTGATTCCAGGGGTGGTGGAATCATAAGACAAAGAAAACAAGAAATCTTGCCCTTAGCTGGGGTGAAAGGCAGGAAAAGGAAGAAAGGGAAGGAGAGACAGTGTTGGGATCTACAGACCGCACCTGAATGCAAATCATCTGCTCTGAGACCAGGCAACAGATGCCGGCCAGACAGCCTGTGAAACCCGGGGCTCAGGGAACAGCAGGCTGGTGTCAACACCGTGAAGATGTTTGTCTTTACTGGCCCACCCTGCAGACTCTGTACCCGTTTTTCCTACCAAATTCCCCACAGTTTACCAAAGTTCCTACAATGGTATTGGTTTACTATTTAAAACCAGAAAAAAGGTTTTTTTCAAGTTTATTATATTTAGAAAGTTACTGTTCTCTATATTACTATCATTCATAGTGGGAGACTATACCAAATTACATTTGATAGCAACTAATTTTTCTGTATTCATAAAGGAGCAGTAATATGCATAACCCAAAACTTGCTTCTACAGTGAACAGAATTCTTTTCTTTTTAAAACTGTGAAGCTGAAGTTTGTATTTACTGGCCAGCCTATCTATTCTGTCCCATTTCCTTCCCTAGGCAACGTCTCATTTACTACACTAAGGAATAAAATCTGAGTGGAATTCAGTCACAATTAGATGCAAATGATAATAATAGCTGATAATAGCTTAAAGCGTACACAGGGATATTTACATAATAGACTCATTTCATGTTTCGCAGATATTTATTGAGTGTTCATTGGGTACCAGGAACTTTTCTAGGTTCTGGAAATACCACAGAGAACCAGAAAGCTGTGGTTCATCCTCCCATGAAGTTTATATCTTTGCTGGAGAGACAGAAGATGGCTACACAATAAGCGAACTTTCAATGGCGAGAAGTGCTGTGGAAGTATAATGTGATAGGGGGAGGCTGGGTGTGGGAGGGTGAGGTCTGATAACTTAGGGAAACTGCTCTGGAGAAGTATGGTGTGAGCTGAGACTTGCGTGATAAGCAGTCAGCTCTCCTGGGAAAATCTGGAGGGCTTAGGCTGAGGGAACAGCAAGGGCAAGAGCCCTGAAGTGGGATCAAGGCTGTCCCAGGAGCAGAAGGTGGCGGGGCCTGTGGACAGGAAGGAGCTTAGTGATAGGAGATGAGGCTGGAGAGAGAGGCAGCAGCCAGATTGTGTCAGGCCCTGAAGGACAACGTGACACTGGGTTAAATCAAGGTGTTTTTGGAGGATGTGAAGCAAAAGAGTAATAGGATGTGAAAAAGGTAAAAGATGTGATTAGCACGTTAAAACGATGAAAACGATTCCTGGTTTCCCCGTGGGAAATGGATGATCCCGGGGAGACGGTGGAAGCAGAGGACCACTTGGGGTTGTGGTGTAACCCGAGCAGGAGATGCAAGGTGGGTTAGGCTGGTGACGTGGAGACGGGGAGGGATGAGTGGATCCGGGATGCAGTGTGGGGCAAGGATGGAAGCCTGTGAGGAAGGTGTGACGCTGCTCAGGGTTTTACCCTTTCCTCATTTTTAGTTGAAAGAAGTGCTTTTAGGGCCTATAAACCAACTTACCTATTGACTTCATCAACATATGGTAAAGCTGATTTAACTAGAATTCGATTTGCTGAAATTTGCCATTGAAAAGGAAATTCAGTATGTTTAGAATGTAATTATTTTATTTGAAGTCCTGTGGTCATTGTTAAAACCTAAAACACCTTTAAAAACACTGCAGTATGAATTCAACAGTTGATCATGTCCAAATCCTTTGAAACCAATCATCTATGTATTGCATACTTTCATCGAGATTTTTGACTAATCAGAATATTCTGTTCCCCAATTAAACCAGTTAATTATGTTCACTGTAGAAGCAGTTTTTAGATTATGTACATCACTGCTCCTTTAAGAACATGAAGAAGTAAGTTAGTGGTGCTGTTTTTATTTTAAAGACAGGACAGTGATGGTCTATGGATGATGTAGGATTGTGTGTGATTTATTTCTTCTGTGTTCCTTTCTGTAGTCTCCAAATTTCCTACAATGATACAATTACTTTTACAATAATAAAATTTTTTTTTTTAAAGTTTATTATATTTAGAAAGTTACTACTGTCTACATTTCCGTAGTTCCTGGTAGAAAACTACAACAAATGGTATAGCTGCAGGCCAAGTTTTAATTTTTCTTTTTTCTTTTTAAAAAATAGATTTACCGGAAACTTCCAGGATTTTTACAAACACTTATGGATGCCCTGGGAAAAGACAAAATCGTCTTCCCTAATGATGAGAAGTAAGCTAATGATGAAAACATCCGTTGTTATATTACTATATAGATTCTGGGGGTGACTCTCATGCGACTTACTGGGTGCTAGGCGAGAAGTCTGAAAGAGTAGATGAAAATTCTTAGGTGGGCACCAGGATTTAGGGTAATGTATCTACAGATTTTTTTTCGTGACATTTTCCTCATGACTGATTTGATGGCTTCACAGATTCAGTATTTTCTCTGAAGTCATAAAGGGAGTTGTCTATTTAGGGCCTATCAGGACCTTGTTTTTTTTATCCTCACTTGAGGACATTTTTCCATTTTTTTGTTCAGATAGAGTAGAAGGGAGAGAGGGAGACAGAGAGAAATATCGACATGAAAGGGACACATCGAGTGGCTGCCACCCGCACGATCCAATCAGGGCCGGGGACAAACTGCAACCAAGGTACGTGCCCTTAGCGGGAACTGAACCTGGGTCTCTCTGGACCGCAGGCCAATGCTCTAACCGCTGAGCCAAACCAGCCAGGGCCTATCAGGATTTTTAAAAGTCCTCTAGGGTCTAGCCTAACATTTCTGGGGAGTCCCTGACTTGTAGGCTGTATTCCCGACGTGATCAAAACCTATCCACCATCCAGCCTACTAACCTGACAACAAATTCAATGACTAAAATTTGGCAAGTTACCCTCTCATAGTCAGAGAATTTGAGCGCCTGCAAATAGGTAGCAGTTATCAGTATTTTTTCTATTTCAACACACTGGAGGGACCTAACATTCTCAGAGTTAACAGCAAGTCATTGTGGCATGGATGGATGGGTATCAAATTGGGTGGGGGAAGGGAAGTATTGTTTGAGAATGTCATTGGAGTCAGGAATGAGCAGACTTTATTTTTTGTTTGTTTGTTTTTTTTTTGGTACATGCCCCTAGCAGGAACCGAATCTGGGACTCTCTGGTCTGCAGGCCGACGCTCCAACCACTGAGCCAAACCGGCCAGGGCTGGAATGAGCATTCTTCATGCCACAGCCTTTTTGAATCACCAGAATAGGGAGATGACCAGGACGCCAGTCAAACCTATTAATGTTCATCCTGTACATTTATGGGGACAAGTAAATAAATTGCTACAAAGAGTTCTGTTTTGTCCTGTGGTAGTTCTTGTTATTTTGGGGTTTTGAGTTCTTTTCTTTTCTTTTAGAGTCTTTTGTTTATTTGACTTTTGTTTTATATTTCCTTTTAAAAAATATGTTTTTATTGATTTTTTTAGAGATAGAGGAAGGGGGGGAGAGAGAGAAACATCGATGTGATCGATCATCAATTGATCAGCTGCCTCCTGCACGCCCCCTACTGGAGATTGAGCCCACACCCAGGCCTGTGCCCTGATGGGGAATCTGGGACTTCTCAGTCCATGGGACAACACTCAACCCACCGAGACACACTGGCTGGGCTATATTTCTTTATTTTTATAAAAAAATGTTTTTATTGATTTTTAGAGAGAGGGAGAGGGGGAGAGAGAAACATTGATGTGAGAAACATCCATCAGTTGCCCCTTGTATGCGCCCTGACTGGGGATTGAACCCACAACCTGAGAATGTGCCCTGGGAAGTGAACCAGCAGCCTTTCAGTGCACAGGATGATGCTCAACCCACCGAGCCTCTCCAGCCAGGGCCCCTTACAGTCCTTTAATGATGATATTCCAAATATTATGATATAAACTGGACTAAGGAAAAGATGAGGTTTTTCTTTTTTATTTTCATCCTCACCCGAGGACATTTTTCCATTTTTTGTTCAGGTAGAGTGGGAGGGAGAGAGAGGAACAGAGAGAGAGAGGAACAGAGAGAGAGAGAAACATCGATGTGAAAGGGACACATCGAGTGGCTGCCACCCGCACGACCAACCAGGGTCGGGGACACACTGCAACGGAGGTACGCGCCCTTAGCGGGAACCGAACCCGGGTCTCTCTGGACCGCAGGCCGACGCTCTAACCGCTGAGCCAAACCGGCCAGGGCAAAATGAGGTTTTTCTAATTCTGTACAAATTCGGTATTTCAGCATTCTTCATGTAAAAATAAATCACTGCCCTTGGCTGGTGTGGCTTAGTGGATGGAGCATCAGCCTCTGCACCAACGGGTCGTGGATTCAATTTCTGGTCAAGGGCATGCACCTGCGTTGCAGGTTCCATCCCCGACCCTGGGTCAGGGCACCTATGGGAGGTAACCAGTTGATGAGACTCTCACATTGATGTTTTTCTCTTTCTCCCTCTCTCCCCCTCCCTCCCTCCCTGGTACTCTCTCTAAAGATCAATGGAAAAAATATCCTCCGGTGAGGATTGACCAAAAAAACAAACAAACAAACAAAAAACACATTTAAATAGATTAAATTAATTAGATATCTAATTAAATTGAATGAGTAAACAGGAGAGAGAGAGAATCTTACTCAGACGAAAAATAAGTTACTGTATAAAGTTGGTTATATATGAAGCTGTTATTCCTGGGAGGGAAGGGGAGTTCTTGTACTTTGGGCAAACCCCATGTCTTGGTAAAGCTTTAACTTGAGGGAAGAGGAGAGGTCCCAGTGTATAATCCTACTGAACGCTTTCCTTCTACCTGTCCTAGTGTGAAATTCCTGTCTTCCCCCCTTCTCATCCTTCACGGCGAGGATGACAGCACAGTGCCCCTGGAGATTGGGAAGCAGGTAATCCGAGCCACGCTGTACTCACTTCACCATCTTCTCTGCCAAAGGAAGGTCTCTGGTTCTGAGGGACTCTCTACACCCATGGTAGCCACGCTGCCTGGTGTACACAGTGAGCAGCCACGCTGCTCAGCTCAAAGGGGCATTTGTGGTGCAGCTCATTTGGGGTCTGTGAACCTGGACATGTCATGAAGATCCCAGGACACTATGGGAACCTCCATGTCTTTCCTGTGGTGGCTCTAAAAAAATGGGATGCACTTCCTTTTCTTTTAACCGGAGTGCGTCCATCACAATTCCTTGTCCCCTTGCAGGGAGGAAGGGACGGCAGGAGGATGAAATTTTGTCGGTATTCTCTATTAGTCATGCAGCTCTCAGTCTTTACTGGGAGAGGCAGACAGCTGGAATTTGGAGAGTCCCCATATCTCCGACCTAACGGGACTGTACCTTTTAGAGAAAATCAGACTAGAAAAACAACAGCTTTGATCATCAGCTTGAGTCTCTGTCTGTCTGTCCCCTGGCAGCTCTATGAAATTGCATACAATGCATACAGGAACAAAGAGAGGGTCAAGATGGTGATCTTTCCTCCTGGCTTCCAACACAACCTGCTCTGTAGAAGCCCCACACTGCTGAAAACCGTGAGGTAAGAGCAGCTTTGCTAAATGTGATTTTCTTCCCTTAAAGGCATTTGAGGGCGGCTCCGGACCACGAGGTGGGGAAAGCATGGGGTCTGATCTAGGTCCTTTTTCTGCAGAGATTTCCTGAGCCAGCAGTGGGCATGAGGTCTGGGAGCAGCAGCAATCTTCAGTGAAGACTTGGTCCAAACACCACCCGTGATGTGTATTTTTTGTGTAAAATTGCACTAGGCTGCTTGGCTGGGCATTTCTTCAAGTCAGTGGCCAGCGACAAAGCACGGAGGCTGGGCGGTACGGAATGTTCTCCCGTGGCTTAGCACAGTCTACTTTGTGGAACATGCTGAAACATCGCTGCGGAGGATCAGAATTTGGTAAAAACTGGATCCCATATAAAGATGTGTAGTTACCAAATATCTGGGCTGTTTGTGAATAAGGTGTGGTTTTTGGTTTGGACTTGGCAGTGTAAGAAAGGTGCTCCAATGCTGTTAAATAATTTGTATTTTAGTTTAGTTAATTTAAATGCCAATAAAAAATTCCAAGTAGTTTTCTAGCTTTCTGATTAGGTTGGGGGAAGCCCTAGCATGCTACTCAATTTATTATAAAATAACACCTTTTGGCACTCAGGTAGCTCTGGAAACTGACACTTTATTTTTAGTTCTAATATAGTTATACACTTTCCCCTCCCAACCCCTAGAGATGCTTAACTGGACTATTAGGGAACAAAACAAAACAAAATCAACGAATGTTGCAAAAACGTTCAAGTGCAATAAGAAGTTATTTTTTTCCAGAGACATTTTACAATCTACTTTCCATTGGCCTTATACACCCCATTGCTAGATTCATTGGAGAGGGAAATCTTCAGGTCGGAAGGCTCCATGTTCCAGATGTCCCTGGCGTACTCCTTAATTGTTCGGTCGCTGGAGAACTTCCCTGAGGCAGCTATGTTTTTCAGTACCATAGCGTTCCAGGCCTTCGGATTCTGTTAACAACACAGACATAAATGACCCGGGGCTGACCGCCCTCCGGGCTTTACAGCAAACGTCAGGCCAAGCAGATCAAAGCGTTTCGTGGAGAAAATGACAGGAGTAAATTGTAGTGAATCATAAATACATGTGTTTCACAGTTGAGAGCTAAATAGGGCAGACTGTGCTTTTCTCCTATTTAGAGTATATATTTCTCTTAAGAATGAAAAAAAAAAAACCCCACGTATTTTTCATTTTCAGAGAAACCACGGAGAGAGACCTAACTGATCATTTTTGCTATAGTTGCACTGTTTTGGCATGAAAATCCTATTTCCCGAGCTTTACTTTGAATGAAGATACCTTCCTTTAAACTACAGAGGAAAGGAAGGGACACTAATATTCAGTGTCTGCTAGAAACCATGTCAAGAAGGTTAACCTGTGGCTCACAAAGGCTGAGAACACTACGCTAGAATGCTAGCCATCAGGCCAACGATCCAATGGGAGCATTTCCTGACTTCTTTTTCTTGTTCTTTCTGAAGGCAGATGCCCCAGTAGGCTTATCCTGAGTCCTGTTGGGGTTTTAAAACAGGATCAATAAAGGTTTTATCCTTAATAAAATGTGTAACATCCAAATCTCATAATTTTTATACCAATCAGAATGTAAGAAACTATTTTATAGCCTCATGATTTGGTAAAGAACTCTAAGAGTTCATTGAAAACAGCCAGAACATGATTCAAAACCAACAGCAATGCATTGTAAACATTAAAAAAAAAATCTAAAACTACCACCATTCCTTAAGAAATTAGTTTGTTCAGCCCTGGCCAGTTTGGCTCAGCAGTTAGAGCGTCGGCCTGCGGTCTGGAGAGACCTGGGTTCAGTTCTCGCTAAGGGTGTGTACCTCGGTTGCAGTTGGTCCCTGACCCTGGTTGGGTTGTGTGGGTGGCAACCACTCGATGTGTCCCTTTCACGTCAATGTTTCTCTCTCTCTCTCTCTCTCCCTCCCACTCTATCTGAACAAAATATCAAAAAATGTCCTCGGGTGAGGACTAAAAAAAAAGAAATTAGTCTGTTCAGACTTTGGAAACTTACTAAAATAAGAGAATAACATCATCCTCTCTTCACTTTCTTGGTGTTGTTGAGGCTTGGAAAACAGTCCCATGTGGTTGGGAGGTACAGTCATTAGGCCTCAACAATACAATTATTGTTAAAAGTAAAAACTGCAATTTGCACTAATGAACAAGAAAGACTGCACCAAAGGCTTGGCTCCCGGATGGCATCCTTTGGATGGGGGCCATCATTTTAACAGAGGAGACCCATTGTGCAAAGTCGACATTCATGCTTGTGCTTGCCCTTGGTCAGATTTGCCTTTCCTGTTCTCTTTCATTTCTATTTCTTTTCCCCTGTAGCCTTTCTACATACAAGCATGGGTTGAAATCAAGAGGAAAGAGCTAGAGGTGGCCGTTGTCCTTCCTGTCAGTTCTTGAAGGCTGTGTGTGGCTGCTCTCGCCAGAGCTCAGGAAGCAGGGAGCGAGCCACTGAGCTTAACGCGAGTCCTCCCCTCCCTGCCTATGGCTGCTAACTTGAATTCACTCCGGCCTGCACACTTCTGGGGGCTGGATATGACTCTACCAGAAGATGGATGATCCTACTTTAAAACCCCAGTGGGATTCCTGGGATGACTGTGGGAACCACCCTGTTACCTGCTTTGGGAAAGGAATCGAAAGAAATGCTAGTGGAGTATGTTTCTGTTGGAAGTAGTTGCTGATGTGTATGAGGGCAGGAGGTGGTGGTTTTATGGATCCTCGCTGTTTTGCTGTATAATGGTTTTCAAGTTGGAGGGCAAAAATGAAGACGACGGGGGCAAGGGAAACCGCCCCCAGGAGGCTCAAGGACCTCGACCTCAAGAGACCCACCCTGGAGTCTCGGCACAGAGCCAGCCTCTTCCAGCTCTGTGTTGTCTGTGATCCGCTGGAAGTCTTTTCTATCAGAGATGATCAAGCTCTCCACAGAGCTACTGAATGCACCCGAGGGCTGGGCCCTGATACAGATGTGCATGGCTCTGGCCTTTCCTTTCCTTCCTCCCCTGCACCCTGTTTTAGGCATAGTCTTTCTTGTTCCTTTCCTTTTTTTTAAAAAAAAATTCAAACATGAAACCATCCCTCCTTCTATACATTTATATTCTATTCGTACAGCCCCACTCCATGGGTTGTCCAGGAGAGGTGCTTATTTTGCAATTTTCAAAGACAAGGGGGTCAGTCTTTATCCCAATAAACTAAGGCTCAGCATTAGAATCATTTAAGCAGGTTTTTCGATACTGATGGCGATCCCACACACTACTGGGTCAGAATCTCTCCGAGGGGGACTGGCATCTGCACTTTAAAAAGCTACCTTGGTGATTCTGATGGGCACTAAACAGGCTCTTTGAGGGGAGGAAAGAAGGGGTGTTGACTTTGTCCTTGCTGGGGTCCCCGTGCCCAGCACAGTGCCTGCTGAGGAGAAGGCCCCAAGCCTCTGTTGAACAAATAATGGGTAAAATGAGCATTCAACTCGGCTTTGTACCTTCAGTCTCCAGGACATGCCCGCTCCCTGGTGGGTGCTCAATATGTATCAAGTCATTTGTGACTTTTTACTTGGACAGTAAAGCATTTACTGTGACTGAAATGTCAAGTCCCAACTTCTGCCTGAACTAGGGAAAAGTCAACTATTGATCTGAACAACCTAGACCATGGTCTCACTTTCTTATTTGATGGGTCAGTGGGGTCCTGTTATTTACATTTAATAAAAAGAAACAAATATTTTAATGAACCACAGTAAGCTGGTTTACTTGATAATTCTCAGCAGTGTACTCACCATGTACAGCTGACTGACTTTTTCTTGACACTTGACATATGCTTCATAGTCTGCAAACACTTTGAACCTGTATTTTTGTGATTGGAAGGAAAAATCAAAACAAAAAGCTTCATTAACAGATATGTGTTAAGATGCCATTTATTTATTTATTTTTAAATCTTATCACTTTATTTTTATTTTTAAAATATGTTTTTATTGATTTTTTGGAGAGAAAGGAAGGGAGAGAAAGATAGAAACATCAATGTGGGAGAGAAACATAGATTTGCTGCCTCCTGCACGCCCCCTACTGGACTGAGCCTGTAACCCAGGGAATCGAACTGGGACCTCTCAGTCCATGGGACGATGCTCAATTCACTGAGCCACACCGGCCAGGAAAGATGCCATTTAAAATTCTCTTTTGCTTGCCCTGGCCGGTGTGGCTCAGCGGTTAGAGTGTCGGCCTGCAACCAGAGAGACCGGGTTTGGTTCCTGCCAAGAGCATGTACCTCGGTTGCAGTTTGTCCCTGGCCCTGGATGGATTGTGTGGGTGGCAGCCACTCGATGTGTCCCTTTCATGTCGATGTTCCCCCCCCGCCCATTCTATCTGAACAAAAAATGGAAAAATGTCCTTGGGTGAGGATAAAAAATAAATAAAATTCTCCTTTGCTTAATGTCATACATGGCTGGTTTTCCAAATTCACATTTCTATTCATGACAGTTTTAAACAGCCCTCCACCTTTCTATGGTTCTACCCACATGGAAGAATGTCACCCTATGGGTGTATATGAAAGCTGTGTGCACCAGTGGAAGGAGAAAAATAGGGTCAGATTTCGGGTCTTATTCTCAAAGCTTCCTAGCACTGCCAGTGGAGAGTACTGAATTTTTCTTTCCAAGCCTCGGCTCATCAGATCACAGATCTATGCTAATCTACATGGCAAGGCTGTAGTTGGTTTATGATGTTCTTGTTCCCTTTTCACAGCTGAAATAACATCATCTCCTTCAGGGGGACTCACCTGTCATGATAAAAGAGCATGTTGATCAAGTCTTTGAAGAGGTCAGGCTGCTTGGGAGAATAGAAGCCGTTGTCAATTTGATCGATGGCCAGTTTCAGTTCTGGAAGTGCCTCATAATATTCTTTTGCCTTGTACCTGCGGGGCGGGGGTGTGATAAGGAGGAGGCTCTGTCAGTCTGTGATTAACTACACAGTAGGCAACACATCAGCTGTGAAAAATGCATTCAGAAATACTAAATTTTATAGAAGTCATTATACAGTTCAATATGGGTATCAATATATTTGACTAGACTGTGACACTATCTTTCCCCACTTAAAGTTGATTAGTTCCTTGTAAGTGATAAAAAAAAAATTCTAGTTGCAGAGCAAAAGTCTGATCTGGTAAAATACAGTAAGTTCATTCCAAAGCAGACTTTCCGGCTCTACACAAGCACTGGTAAGTGAACCAGTTGCTTTTGGACCCAAAGATCTCCAATTCTGTGGCTTCTGAGTTAAAATTTACTTCCCGGGGTTAGGAAGTATACCCGACACCCTCCAAATTTTGTGATCTTTGTAGTTCCTTTGGGTAGCACTCTTTATTTCTTGTTTGAATCCTGGTTAATAAACCTATTTAGACACTACGGGAAACTATTCCCGAGTGCTTCTGTAGACCCTCTCCCACATTTTCATTCATCT